TATTTTCCTATATTCACTAGTTTCTGTTTTTTTTTTTGATTCCACATGTAAGTGGTATCTTACAGTGTTTGTCTTTCTCTGTCTGACTTACTTCACTTAGCATCATGCCCTCCAAGTCCATCCATGCTGTAACTAATACAACATTTTAAATCAACCATACTTCAATTAAAGAGCAAACAAACAAACAAACAACCCATTTAAAATATGGGCAGAAGAACTGAACAGATATTTTTCCAAAAGAGGAAATGCACATGGCCAACAGGCATATGAAAAGCTGCTCAACATCACCAATATCAGGGAAATGCAAATCAAAATCACAATGAGACACCATCTCACATTTGTCAGAATAGCCATCATCAAAAAGAACACAAATAACAAATGTTGGCAAGGGTGTGGAGAAAAGGGAATCCGTGCACACTGTCGATGGGTATGTTAATTGGTGCAGCCACCATGGAAGACAATATGGAGGTTTCTTAAAACCCCCCAAACATAATCACTATATGGCTCAGCAATTCCACTCCTGGGCATACACCCCAGAAAAACAAAAACATTAATTCAAAAAGTGTATTTCTTCTTCTTGAAAGAGCACCTTAACTGTCCCTTGGGGATTCACCCCTCCACCACTCACGAGCCATGTGGTTTTGGTAGGGTGAGCAGGGGACAGAGTGTGTCATCCTTCCGAATGCAGTAGTTGGTGTGGGGCCAGGCATGTGACCTAAGTTGGTCCAATGAAGCTCAAAACCCAGGACTTTCTTGGGAACCCTGGGAAAGACGTGCTCCCTTTTTGGTTTGACTGAGCTAGAAAGACGCATGTCTTGGGCTTCTGAGGACCACAGCACACGGAGGCCTACAAGTACAAGGGAGAGCAGAGCTGAGAAATGGAGAAAAAGAGGGAGACACCAAGGACTGATGACATTTTTTGAGCCCCTGGATCTAGTCAGGCCTGTAATATGGATTTCCACCTTCAGGGCATTTCAGTTAAGTAGGCTAATAATTTCCACTTTTCACTTGTTCAGTATGAGTTGGTTTTCTGTAATTCATAACCAAGAGGCTGCTAACAATGTGTCAATGGAGAACATGGTATGGAGGAGAAACTAGACCAGGACTACAGCTGCCACTACCTCTGGGTCCATCCTGAGGGCTACTAGGTACCCACTGACAACTAGAAGTCAAAAAAAGACCCATGTGGTATGAATGCCAAGAACACCATGAGCCCAGTGGGCAACCGAGATCCCAGAACCTCTCTAGAACAGAACTCACCTGCTGACGGCCGATAAAAAGACGCCAATGGACCTTAGCAGCTTATCTAAACACGAGCCAGTCATATAGCTGAACGACAAGTTAAAGAGTGAATTTCAGGGTGGTTTTCCATCCTGTGTCTGATCCCTCATACCACTTACGGCCCAGGATGACCAACTGCATGTCCTTTACCTGAGAGGGGCCGCTAGATTGGAGGGGAAGGGACAACACACACACGGGGGTGGGGGGGTGGGGGGGAGGTGCTGGGAGGCATGTCATGGTTTCCTAGGAAGCTCTTCTGGGGTAGTTCAGCCACTGACTCCAACAAGCTCTCTAGAGAGTAAGAGGCTCTGATGAATAAAAGGTGCACAAAGGAAGCTAGGGGTCAGTTTTCCAAGCCTCTCTATGCCATGACCATTGCCCTTAGGTCTCAGCACAGTTCATTATTTTCTGCCTCACTCTTGGAATTCTCTAAAAACAATCAGCTTCATCATTAATTCTCAATTTTGTCTTGCTCAAAGCTTTATACTGGAGGTCACTATCTTTATGAAGAATCGTGTGTCTTCCTCATAAGAACAGGGGATGGTGGAAAAATTAAACTCTGATTTAAAACAACCTCAGTATTTAGTGTTATTTATTTTTTTTAATGTGAGCTTTTGCAAAAAGCTTCATTGTAATAAAGCACCCAGAGCACGCATCAGCTTAGATACAAGGTATGAAATCAAGCCACAACAGAAAAGGAACCAGTCAACAATTACTAGGCTCATAACACATCACAGGCTCTTAGAACACTTAAGAAATTAGCTGAAATTATTGTAGCTCATGGAGGATGACTGAGAGCTTCCAAGACTGATAAAGGCTAATGTAATGGGTTGGAGGTAATGGTGCTTTGTTGAGGGGGAGGGTGCATGAGGCAAATTATCTCGGCTGCACCCTGGTTCCCAGGATGCCAATAGAAGTAGAGACAGATTGGCTCATTAGGAAAGGCTCTTTACTGCAAGAGCAGTGTTTGCTCTGGAGCCAGGCTCCCCTGCCTGTTGCCGTTAGAGCCGGGGCCAGGCCATCAGCCTACCATTCTGCTCCCCCCGAACCCCAGCTCCCTTCCTGCCTCAGTGCCTCCTCAGTGCCTCTTCTTCAGTTACTGGTGAGGCTGACCCACTTTTGTTACCTTTTTTTCCTCTGTCCCAGGCTAGCCTTTTTCTCATAGCCACTCACGATATATATTTCTAGTCTATTATTTCCAGCAGTTAGTTCCAGAAGTTTGCCACAACATCAGAGTAGCCAAAAATACCAAGCATTTACTGTGTGCCAGGCACTGCGCTGTGCTTTGTTTGCTTTGTCTCATTTAATCCTCACTGCACCCCGCAGTGGGTGCTGTTAGTATTTCCGCTTACTTCATAAGGAAACAATCTCAGACAGTTTTATTAATGGCCTGTTCAAGGTCCCCATGTAAAGTGATAGTACTTGGGTTTGCACCTAGGCAGCCTAACTCAGCGTCCAAGTTCTTACAGGCAGGCCTTCCTGCCTATAGAAAAGCAGAGGGAGTGGGCCACTGATGCAGATGGTCTCCTTATATGGGGTAGGAGGTGGGACTGTGCCAGGGAGACACCGAAGTAGAGTGGATGGCGTTTTGGCTTTGGGCCAGACCCCCGTTTCATTCCCTATCTCTGCACCTACTAGTAAACTCAGCCTTTTCAAGGCTCATCTTTCTCATCTATAAAATGGGACAATACCAATCGCCTGTTAGGTTTGGTGTTAGGCTCAAATGAGATATTTGTATAGTACATAGAGTTCAGTGCCTAGAGCATAAAAAGATGTGATATATGGTAACTGATAATTTTTTCACTATAATATATAAATCCTTAGGTTTACTGATCCATTCTGAAAGTTCAAGTTTAAAAAAGGAGTTTGAAGCTAATGTGGGATTAGGTTTGGCAATTTTACCAAACATAATGATGCTATATTGGTTTCCCTTCAAAATCCACCGTAACTGGAGGGCTGGGGAGGAGATGTGGGACTCCCTGATTCAAAGTGCTCTGTCCCTTCAGCCAGTCTGTTTTCTCTGTTGTATGACAAGGTCACAAAAGGTTAGGGAGTTATGAATAATTTCAGGGGGAGAGGCTGCCTATACCACTGTATATTAAAAGCATGGTTCATTCAGTGAGCACTGACTGAGTGTCCACTAAGTGCTGGGCCCTCTGATTGGCACTCAGGACATGGAGAAGAACAGACAATGGCTCGGTTAACAAGTGCAGTGACTGAGTCATAAGAGAAGAGGGCTGAATACAGAATTTTTGGGAACACTAACGTTTAAGGGGTGGGTGCAACAGTGTCAGAGGAACAACCATGGGAGAAGGAAGGGGAGACGAGAGCTTTAGAAGGGGCTGTGGTCAAGCACGGCCGGGGCTGGGGTGAGGTGAGTGACTCACTTGCTTCCTGGTATTTAAGGGGGCACCAAAAAACTCAGTAACTAAATAATATTTCCTGCACTAATAAAAAAGAAAAATTAATATAAAAGTCCATGATGAGGGGGAGGGTATAGCTCAGTGGTAGAGTGTCTGCTTAGCATGTACAAGGTCCTGGGTTCGATCCCCAGTATACCTGGTTACATAAATAAATAAATAAATTTACTGTCCCCCCAAAAAACCCCCAAACCAACAAACAAAAAAATCCGTGATGAATAAAATACCAAAGCTTTAAACAAAGGCAGGATCTGACCCTGCATGTGTATGACCCTACCTCACTCACATCACCCTGTGGTTGATTGGAAACTTTTGCCAAGTTAATGACAACCTTGGTGGTGTCAATAAGTGTCATGAGTTGTGGGGACAAGGCCAGATTATAGGCGCTGATGTTTTTCAAAGTATCACCTGTGGACTGCCAGCATTAGAGTCACCCGGATTCTTGTGAAGAGTACAGACAAGGGACCCACCTTTAATTTACTAAAGCAAAATCCTGGGGGTGAGGTGGGGAAGTAGACTGCTTATCTGCATTTTAAAACTCTTTTTTTGCACAGTTAATGTCTGAGAATGTTGGGGTTAACCTAGAGATTTATTCAGTGGATTCCCTTTGGTCTGTATTCTAGGCCTGAGTCTGATTAATAATTTTATCAATGATTAATCATAAGAAAAAGAGAGCTGTGTTTACTTAAGCGTTTAGGTCTACCAGCTGCAGACTCTCTGCTTCATTCATTCCTTTCATTCCTTGTTCAACAAACATGTACTGAGCACCCAGTATGTGCCAGGTGTTAGAAATACAGAGATGGGCAGAACAGATGTAATTCCTGTCCTCACAGAGCTTACAATCAGTAGGGGAAGAGAGAGAGATTAAGCAGGCAATAACAATAAAATGTTAAGACTATTCAGATAGAGGAAGTGCTATGAGTTCTTTAACAGGGGAATCTAAGCCAGCCTGAGGCTCAGAGAAAGGCTTCCTGAGGAAGTGATGCTTGAATTGAGTCCTGAATAATGGAGTTTGACTTAGTCAAATAAAGAGGAGGTTTCAGGAAGGGGAGAGGGTTTAGGCAGAGAAAAATAGTAATAAAAGGGTCTGAGATGACTCCATAGAGTGCTATGGGCTTATGGAACAGGAATATCTTCAAATCCACCCACAACTCAAACTAGTATCTTGATGGTCACCAAATCTGTCTTCATCTCCAGTCTGCCCCCAGGGGCTCAGGTGCCTTAAATAAGACATGTCCCCAATCAAACTCGTCTACCCCCAAATTTGCTCCTTTTCTTGTACACTTTTCCCACTTAACAACACCCCATTTGCCTAGTTTCCCAAGCCAAAAACGTGAGAGACCTTCTGTGGGGGACAAGTGGAGGTGGTAGATGGGTTAACAGGCATGGAACTCAGATTCCAGAGAGAAATGTGGGCAGGAGTACACATTTGAGAGTCGTTATGTGGGAGTGGTGTGGACATATGACAATGGTTAGATCACTTGGAGAATGTGAGAGTGAGCAGAGAAGAGGGCTGTGGCTAGAGTCCCAAGAAACACTAACATCTAAGGGATGACGGAAGAACAGCAGGATGGACAGAAAGAAAGGAGAAAACCAAGAGAACTGGTATCACAGAAACCAAGAGAAGAGTGTGTGTGTGTTTGGTCTATGGTCTTCTTTTTCTTTCCTTTCTTTTTTTCTTTTGTTGAGGTATAATTACCAAACAACATTATACAGTTTCAGGGAAGATTGTTTTGAGAAGTGAGAATTGATTGGTTGACACATGCCACTGAGAGGTCATGTATAAGGACTGAGGATGCGGTCACTGGGTTTCACAATTAGAAAATCATTGGTAACCTTGGTGAGACCTGCATCAGTGGTGCGGAAGGGACAGAAGTCAGAGTGCAGTGGGTGGAGGAGAAGGGGAGGCGGGGAGGTGGAAACAGGGAAGGTCAACAGCCTTTGCAACAAGCTTCAACGTGAAGGGCAGGAGCAAGGTGGGATACAGGTTCCAGACAAGGATTTAATAAAAAGTTTTAAGGTAGAAGAGATTTGAGCATATGTAAATACTGATGAAAAAACTGGTAATGAGGCAAAAGTGAAGACTGTAGGACAGAATGAACAAAGTCCTTAGGGAGCTGGGAGAGGATTCAAGTGCAGTGCAGATTACAGGATCAGTCTATCTGGAATACCTACTTTAATTCTGATGGGGGCAAAGGAGGTTAGGAGTGAGAATGAAGATACATTTACAGGTTGGGAAGACAGGAAGTTGAGGGAGTTCTTGACTTCAGGGATGATATTTCAATCACCAGATGTTCTGTTCAAAAATCTTAGACTCAAGAGAAGAGCTCCCTTGACCATCTTCATCCCTTTTTTCTTTTGAAGATTGCCTAATTGTTTTTCTGTTCAGTAAAGGATACGTGAGTCGAAGCCAGGTGGTCAAGCGGACCAGGAACAAGCTGGCTCCCTGGGAAAACTCCTGTTCCAGTTCAGGGGCAGTCTTGCCTTGGTTGGTTTCAATGAAATTGTTGAGGATGTGACTCCTTGCAACTGTGCCAGCATTGTCCCAGTCCTGTAAGAAACTCAAGAGCCGGCTAATTGCTGCCTGCTCCTTTATAGAAGTCATGATCAATCAGTCCTGAAGTTGGGTACAGAGGAGGGAAAACAAACAGGTTACCAAAGCATTCAGAAGCACATAACGCATGTACTCACTCTATGGGTTTTCTTTTGCCAGCAATCATCTGGAGGCAGGGTGAGCCTCTGTCACCCATGTGGATGTAGTGACGTTCAGAATACTCCTTTTGGACTGGTCACCTGCTACTCGAACGGGGAAGACCTAGCTCTGTTGTCATGGAATTAAGAATATCCATGCTTAGGAGCTAAATTTTTAGCCCTTTAGCTTCTCTGCTGGTGCTGGCAACTAAAAGGACCACAGGCTCCACCTGAAATGATGATGATGGCTAAAAACCTGGTCCTGTCTCCCCCCTCACCTCACAGCATCAGAGATCAGGTCTTTAGAGACCCAGCCCCCGCTCAGGCCAATCAGCCAAGGTAAAATGGTCCAGTAGTCTTGTACCTTGGACTTTTGGACTAACTCTCTTAAAAACACCTTAAAAAAAGAAAGTTAGTGGGAAGAAAAAGTTCTCATTCCATAGTTGGATTAATGGGCTGTGGTTTGTAGGAGTGTGTGTCCTTGGGAGAGTGTTTTCAGTGGGGGAGGGAAGGTTTAAAATAAACCCGTTTTCCAAAAATAGTTGTGATTGAAAGTGTTATTATCCATAACAAATGTTGGTGCTGATGGGAGAGAGGCATGTGTGATTCTTTTGTCTAACAGACAAGTGAAAGTCATATTTCACATTATCATGGGGTTTTCTGTGATTTACAGAATATTTGTGAAACATTACTTGCAGGGCCATGATTGATATGGAGAGAACAGCTTGCGTGTAGGGGGGATGTGTATTTCATGAAGACTGTTCAACATGAAATTTACAGTCCCATAAAGTGCTTCTACATCTTCGCCAGAGATCTAGTTAAAAGGACTTTACAGTCTGAAACATCCTAAAATTGATTCTAAATTAACGTTTCCTCACATGTATTTGAGATATTGATGGGGCCCCGCTATCAGAATTTTATTAGTAAGCAATAATCTGAGGCATGCTAAGACAGACATACATACACACCAACCTCCTCTGCTCCCAGAGGACACTGGGTGTGTGCTCCCAGGAAGGGCGGCCACGCAGCCTCAGGGATGCAGACAACCACGAAACCCTGTCAGCCTTAACAGCCAGGTGAATAACTGTGGATCAACCTGAACACAAAAACGACCCCACCCCCTCAAGGGGTCAGGCATCAATCACTGTGAATGACATTACAGCCCTCAGTCCAAGAATAACTTACAGAGGCCATGGCCTTTAACAGCCAAACTGGTCTCAAGAAAACGGGGATGAGTGGGCTGTTCTAGACCCCAGGAAGGAGGGGCTGAGACACCACCATGAGCAGGAAAGCACCCTGTGCCTATCCCCTGCAGTGGATGGACCCTTTCTAGGATCAAAACTCAAAGTGCTGTCAGAAAGGCGCCCAGCGATTCTGGATTACCAAGGGTGGGAAACTCCATATTATAGCCCCTCGAGGTTTCTTTGGATCTCAGTCTTTCCCTATCAGCTTCTTTTCATTTAAACCAGGAAAAGAAAATTGACAAATGGCAGCCTTAACGGTCATAGTGACACAGCCATAAATCAGTGCTGGGCAAGGTGCTGGGGGGAGATGTGGAGGGGTCCACAGCATGGCCCGGCCTGGAGGAGCTCCGGATCGCCCCGTGGAGTGGAAGAACATGGGGTTTACAGGCCGACTGGGCTCAAGGCCCAGCTGCCCACTTACTATCCAGTAAAAGTGAAAAAGTAATAGTACCTGGCTTCCCCTTTGCCACCCTCCAGTCTTAGTCCAGAGGTAACCACTTTCAACTCTTTTGACTTTTTGTCTGGTGTTACCTCTATATGTCCAAATAATGAATTTATACTACATGCTATGGACTAAATCCAACAAATTCATGTGCAGAAGCACTAATCCCCAGTGCCTTAGAATGCGACTCTGGAGATAGGGTCTTTAAAGAGGTAACTGAGTTAAAATGAAGTCATCAGGGTGGGCCCCCATCCAGTATAACCGGTATCCTTATCAGTGGAGATCAGGATATGGACACATACAGAGGGAGGCTGTGTGAGACACCAGAAGGTGGCCATCTGCAAGCCAAGGAGGGGGGCCTCGGAAGAAACCAACCCTGATACATCTTGACCTTGGACACCTTGGTCAGAGGCCTGCAGAACTGTGAGATAATAAATTTGTTGTTTAAGCCACCTGGTCTGTGGCCCTTTGTCATGGTAGCCTGAGCAGACTAATACATTACTATTACTCGACTGATCAGTTTTAGGCAATATTTATTTCTAATTCTGAGGAATCAGTCCTCTTGCCCCTTTCTAACCCCCATTTTCTCTCCTCGTTCTCACAATATGGTTTTCCACAATTTATGGTTAAATCAATAGTTAGTTGCTTACATTATTGACCAAGTGAATAAACACTGTTCACTCAAGCTGTAAACTACTATTACATTTTCCTTCTCTTACAAGTTGGTTTTACCTGGAGTTCATAATTGTTTCTTTTTCCAATTGTTTAATTTTCTAAGTACTAGAGCTCTTTTCTTCCAAATATTCCAAATACATAGCAACGATTTTCCCAAAGGTTCAGCCCCTAACTGCTCAGGGCCATCTTCTCCCTGGAGACCTCTGTCCACAGACCTCTGTCTTTCTGCTGCAGGTCAGACTGGCTGCTTGCTATGCCTGGTGCACAAATGTTGTCCTCAGGTTTCCTTTGGCTAGTCTTCTAAGTCCATCGCCCTATTTCCTGGATCCACCTCATTCTCCTCTGTTTACTGACTCGTTTTGTTGAAGCACATTCTCCAGCAGCTTTCTAAGAAGTGAAAAAAACATGTTTTTTTCCCTGTGTTTCTGAAAGTCTGCAAGTATTTCGACCTCATGTTAGATTGGCTGGGTGTATAAGTCCAGGTTAGAAATAAGCTTCCCTCAGCTGAGCCTCCCCAGGGTGGCTGTTGAGAAGTCCCAAGTCATTCTGATTCCTGGGCCTTTGTCTGTGGCTGGTTTTTTCACTCTTGAGGCTTTAAAACCTGTTCTGAAATTGTATGATGGTATGCCTTGGGGCAGGTCCTTTTCAGTGATTATACTGTGCCTTTGGTGGGCTCTTTTAATCAGATGCTGTGTCCTTCAGTTTTTGGAAATTTCTTTATCAGGCTAGACTTTTCATTGAGGAACTCATAAACGACAGGCAGTGGTTTTAAAATTTTCCCACTTGGGGTTCTCAGGGCCTCTGGAGATGAGTCTTCCACTCTCGCAGGGAGGGTGAGAGGGTGGGGGTGCTCAATGCCTGGCTGCTGGCCTCTGGGGGTGGGGTGGGGAGGAGCGGGGACTGCCACATGCAATGTGTATAGATCTTCCCTCCATCCCTCAGTTTTCCTTCCTGTATCTCTTCCCTGCCCTTCAAACCCTGCTTGAGGTCCCGGAGTATGGAGGCCTCCAGCGTTCCTCCTGATGCAGTAAGAGAGTTTAGAGTAGTTGTTTGGCTTTTGAGAGCAGAGCTCTGGGATGGAGTGGGGTATGGAGGTGGGGAGAGGCAGGGAGTGATCGGCAGACAGACTCAGCCAGTCCGCCACGTTTAGCCCTATACCTCATTCCTGACCTTCTAGGGTAACTTGTGCTTCCAAGGCATCAAGCCTCTTGGAGGTCAAACTTGATGAACCTACTTGCTTCTTGTTGGTAATCGACCCTGGTTGGCACTTGGTTAGTAATTTCTTAGGATGTTTCAAGCCAGGTGACACTCCCCCACCTGCCTTCTACCTTCCAAATACTGGTTGACTTTCATCTGCTGTTGCCTCCTTCTCTGAGCTTTTGTGACTTGATATCTTTTCTATCTAATACATTTCTTCAATGTTAAGCCAGTGAGGTTCTGAGAGGTAAGGGGGAAATAAACTGGGGCAGTCATGTTTAATCAAGAGACTCCAGCCACTTATTTTTTTTTTAATCTCAACTTCTCTTCAAAATAAGATTTGATGATGATTGGACAAAAACAAAAACCAAACAACCAATAAGTATAATTTTAAAAAGAATTTAAAGAGGAGAACGGTGGGAAAAGGGGGGAAATGTGTCAATTTCAAGAGTTCACATTACACCTGCAGGCTTTATGACTCCCAAATCCATATTTTCAGCCTGGGCCTCCCTCCAGGCTGAGAATATGACTAAGTGACTACAGACATCTTCCTGGGTATGTTTCACACACTCCTCTAATCAGTAAGTCCTGCAGTGAACTCATCAGGCCCTCACACCTGCTCCTTTCCCTGTGTTGGTCCTATTGCAGTGACTGTTCCCACCCTCCTAGTCACTCAAGGGCTAGCTTCGATGTATTCCTCTCCCTTGCCCTCCTTACCTGAACTGTTGCTGGGTTCTGCCAATTACACCACCTCAGTCTCCCTCAGCTCAGTCTATCTTCACCTCCACTGCTATGATTTCAGTTTCCCCCTCAACCCTCACATGGGTCACTGCAACTGCCTGCTAACTGATCTTCTGGTTTATCCCATCCTAATCTCCACAGTGATGTGAGATCCTTTTTTTTGAATCATTAAAATAAAACGTGCTTTATTTTTAAATTTTTAATGCAATTTTTAAAGGTTACACCCCATTTACAGTTATTACAAAACATTGGCTATACTTCTTGTGTAGTGATGTGAGATTCTTTTAAAAATGCAAATCAGGCAGATTTCCCTGCTTAAAACTCTTCAGTTGTTTCCCATTACCCACAAGATAAAGTTTCAAACATCTCAAGCCAAACAGCTTCCATCTAAATTTTGCCAAAACTGAAATCTGACTGTCCCTCTCATCCGCACAGCCTTGCCATGCCACTGCCTCCAGTGGGAATTAAGAGGAAGCTGCCAGCTTCCCCTCAATTCACAAAACATTCTCTAAAGTCCTCATACCTTCTCACAGTTTCTCGATCACTTCTTTTCCTCTGAGG